ATGTCTTTCTTGTTTGTTTCTGTTTTTATTCACTTTCTTGTTGTTGTTTCACCATAACATTTCCGTTCTGTTCTGGAAATTTTGAAATATTCTAGTTTTGCATTATCATCATTCATTCATTCGCATACATCACAATAATGTACTCTAAATATTACGCTTCCAAATCATTAACAAATAGTACCTCACGATTTGTCAAACCAACCTCAACTAATGTCTTATTAGCAATTGATAATGTGGCAGCATCATTATCCGTTTCATAGGATTTTGAATATAAAACTCTTTTGGGGAAATTCGTTGTAATTTCAAATTCATCCGGTGTTGATGGATGGCAAAATAAGTAATTGGAAAGATCCTAAAATGAAGATGATAATTATTAAATGAGATCAAGCGGAGGGAGTGCAAAATCAAAACAAAGAAACCTACTAATAGTGAATTTGATTGTTGGAATCTACGTTCAATACGTGCACCATTGGGCAGTTTAAATACTACACTAATGGCATCCAAAGCATCGGCGGGTGGTTCAGATGGTACTTGTTCGGCTAATTCCATTTTCAATCGTACAATTTCCTATAAAATTGAGAATAGAATAAGTTGTCCCATTATAACCATACGATTAGCTCTCAAAGCTATCAGTACCATAATGGGATATGTACGGGCATTTATTGAATGTGAGACACGATAACCTTCGGGCGATGATACATCGCAACCCCAAAATAAAGTATTGCGATTAATGAAATCTATGACATTGCGATTAGCCAACGTTTGACTACAGAATGTATCGACATCACTGTTTTTCGTAGGATCTTTATGTAGATAGACCAGCAAGAAACGTAATTCTTGTTTGGCATCATTCAATGCCTGGGCATATGTACCCTGATAGAACACCGGGTGTTCTGGATAACGTTCATTGTAGCTACGTATAAAACTCATGACATCACCTAAGGGATCTGTGACAACTGAAAGTGAAAAAGGGGGAGGGAAATAGTTTAGATTTTTGTTTCATAAATAATAAAAAGTATTTTTTTCTCTCCCTTACTTCTCTCCTCGTTTCCGCCAAAGAAAGCACCCAAAATGCTCGATATTGTGGAATAACAATATTGAAACACCATATTGATAATGTAACCAATAATACCAGTTATACTACGTGGCATGGGACCAGCACTGCTACCTCGCGAAGTTCGCCCCCCAGGCATGTGTGCTGAGAAGACTTGTTGCAGGAAACGATCATTGATAACAGTTGGGGCACGCACCTCCCGGGAACCTACATAAGATGAGGGTCTACCTTCCCGTATGTTCATTTGCTCTTGTACGGCGACCTTGAATTAAGAAAGAAAAATTTTGTGTTAATTCTTCTTCTATAGATGGAGGATTATTTATTATAGGATTTTATAAAGCATTGGTTTTGGATAACGTCTTGTGGTACTAGACTCCAAATTATTTGAACAAAATTTTAGATATCGATTTTTTCATTACAGGAAAACATACTCTCTGTACGTGGAACACTTATTGCATGTTTCAAGTTATTTTGCATCAATCCCATATATTATCATCAACCGATATCCCCTTGCAGAATTCTTATTTTCATTAGCAACACTTAACACCTTCTGTTAAATCAATCTCGTCTGATCATCATAGAAACAAAATCCATGTCGTCGTTATTCACTTACCTCCAAATCCCATTGATGCCTTATCAGAACATCACGACATACACTCATATCTTCAATGCCAGTGAGATCTTGTAGTTGTAACACCTTCTCCGTCTGTTCATTGGTAAGTCCGTCATCCATGTTTGTGTACAACGTAGCAGTTGTTATTCCAGAATAATACGAAAAAAAACTCTGTGTGGTCTCCTCGAAATGTTTACAAAACTGTAAATAAATAAATTTCCATAAGATATTCTATCATATCCCATCAGATATACCTCCTACTGACCTACTACTAACTGCTGTCTAGGTGTTATTTCTTTTTTTAGTTAATTGGTCTGGTGATGAACTTCTATTTTTTTCTTAGTGTTAAGCAGTTGTTTAGTCTCCCACAAGTTCTCTATGCCACCAAACCAATATCCATTGACATAGCTACGTATTGCAGTTAAGCTTTTCCGGCTCTTTTAGGCGTTTTTGCAAAATATATTGCATAGATATTGATAAAAAAATTGTTTAAAAAATCTTAAAATTTCCGTGGATCGGTTCTGTAAAAAATTCAATGACAATTGATTTTTTTTTGTTGTTTTTGTGAAAATGTCAAAAATGAACGAATGGGAGGAGAAGACAAAACGGCCGATAAAGATGAATTTAAAATGGTATAACCGATAGTTACGAATGAGGTGGGATGGAGACTAAATGGCATTTTCAGCGACTGAAGAAAAATGGAAAAACGTTCCACCTCCTAACGAATGGGAGGAGAAGACAAAACGGCCAATAAATATAAATTTGATAGATTTTAATTTATGTTTTTCAATTTTATTTTGAAATAAAATATTACATTTTCAAAACAAATATAATTTGTTTGTCGGTTTACATATTTCTGTCAAATGACGTTGCCACTTGTATAACTTACAATAACAAATTTCCATGTGGTTGTTGTATCCTTTGATGACAACAACACTTGATGTTACCTTTGATTATTATACCATGAGTTTATACCAAGATCTATTAATAAGGTCACCCAGCTAGCGAATGTCAGCTTTTTTAATGTCTAATGTCAAAAATTTGGACTTTGCTTACATTTTCACAATGGAAGTCAATTCACAATAATGGATTTTGATACAACACTGGAGATACAGCTGATATCCACCTCCCTGGATGATCTTATTAATAGACATTGTTTTATACCTTCATGCATGATGTAATAATAAGGTAATGTATCAAAACAAAAATATTTGGTTTTTGTCTCCACCATCTGTCAAAATTTTCCATATAATAGGTTCGTTCGTTTACTCAATAATTTGTACGAATTTGTACAAATTATTACAAAATGTTGTTCGTTTACCTAAAAGTCCAGTAAAAGAGAGTGAATTGAGAGAGCAGATTTGACAGTTGTGTTACTGAGTATTTGCAAATTCTTACAAGGAAAATTTACTCAGTAAGAATTTTCTTGTACCATCAGCTGATATTAAATCAGCTGTTTTGTAAACAAACAAAAAATTGTTCTCAAGAAAATTGATTGTTTTGTGAATTTTATTTTGATTTTGTATCATTAAATACCAAAACGGATGAAGAAAACGCAAGTATTTAAAAATAAGGTAATACAAGAGTAATTGGCGAACGATGTTTTAGGTTCCAAATCCAAACAATCCAACCAGATATTTTTTTTATCAGCATCACATGCCGGAACGTCTGCTTCTTCCCGCGACTTTGAATATGATATTTCCTGGGTAAATTCTGCGTTTTGAGTTGGTTCTCGATTTGGCGAGAACACAATCTCGTCGTAGTCCTCCGTGTCACTCATTTGAGCAACCACTGACTCCATATACACCGAATCTGTAAACATCAATCAACATCAATATATTTCCAAATAAATAGTTAAAACTTACCGGTCACAACCCTTTTAAATGTTTGTGGGGAACAAACAACATCAATTTTCCGCTTGTTATCCATTTTACTAATAAAAATGCTGTTTTTTAGTTTGCGCCAATTTGTTTGTTGTTTTAATCAGCTGTGTCGAAACAATCTTTTTACTGGATGTTGTTCGTTTACTTTTTGCAGTTTTCTCTCTTGAGAAGGAAAAATTCGTATTTACTCTCTGCAAATTCTTACTGAGTAAATATTACTGGGAAAGTAAACGAACCTAATATTTCACATGGTTGGCAACATAACACATGGAATCAAGTAGAAACCATGATGTAATAATGAGGTGATGTATCAAAACAAAAACCTTTGCTTTTGTCTCGAATGGTTGGCAACACTGCACATCGAATTCAAGTAGAATTTAAGGGCTAAGCAGAATGCTCGCGTTGAGCCATCCGTCGCGTTATGTGTTATCGAAAATACAACAACCACAAAGAAAACGATAACACAAACGCTCAAAGTTGTTGTGCGCTGCGTTTCGGAGTTATATATATTTTAACTTTTTGCGTGCGTTAACGCGATAACAAAAAACGCCCAACGCGAACATTCTGTTTAGACCTTTACAGATTTTGAAAGTTAATCGAGTTATCAGCTGCGCTAAATGGGCTACCTATTTATTGTGTCATGGTTTCTATATTAGCTCTGTCTGTTAACTCGATATTTGGTAACAATTGTTACCAAATGTTACTAAATTTTGTCTGTTTACCCAAAAATTCAGTAAAAGAGAGTCAAGTGAGAGAGCAAGTTTGACAGTTCAACAACAACAAACTTACTGGAGTTTACTGAAAGTATTTTAAGCAGTAAGATTTTGCAAACTCCGCCATTTTTGGATCAGCTGTTATATGACCAAACACAAAAATTTTCAAAACATTTTTTTTAAATTTGCAAAGTTCAATTTGAAGTTAAGTTGTTTGTGTGGCGTTTTGTGGCCAAATAATTCTTCTATCTACAGCAACAAGATAGAAGTAACGAATAAACCGAGAAAAAAAAGAAGTTAAGTTGTATAAAAATAACAGAAAATGGAAGAAAATTCGTAAGATATGCAAAGTTTCATTAAATTAGAAACTGATTCTTTATATTTTTAGGCAAGTTCCAGATAGAGGGCAATATATTGACGCAGGAAGCTTAAATGTTCCCGGGGAACATACCAAATAAATTTTTCTTTTATTATTCATTTTATTTTTAATATTAAATGCAATACAAATAATTGTGTTCGTCCTTTGTGTGTTTTTTATTTTGGCGCAAATTAAATGTTTTCTTGAATCTGCTGTTTTTTTTTTTTTTTGCTAAATTTTACTAAATGTTGTCTGTTTACTTTTTTCAGTATTATTGCAAAAGAGAGTAAAAAGGCTTACTCTCTGAACTAGAACTTACTGAGTAAATGTTACTGGAAAAGTATCCAGACACACCTATTAATTCGACGTGCATGTTGCCAACCATGACAAATATTACTAGATAAAATGTGTCAGATAAAAAACAGAAGTTTTTTCAGTCGCTTCTCAACCTTTGTTGATGTTAGACTAAACACGCGCGGGTCGCTTTTTTATGTTTTTTAATTTCTCTCTGCATTTTACACATAAACAATACACACACACATTAACACATAACCAATTTCGTTTTTTTTCTCTGTTTGTTGGTTTTCTTTAAAATAAAATTTGGTATTCCAATAACAACAATATCTGGTGATCATGGGGGACGAGGAGCCGCCTCCTCGGCTGGACCCGAGGAGAAGATCTGAAACCTCAAACAACCAGGAATCAAAAAAATTCAAAAATTTTAAACTCTCGCCGTCAATACAAAAATCGCTAATACCTCCAACAACACTATCAGTTGCATCAAACTCACCACAAACACAATTTCAAATACAGCCTCATCAAATTTTAAGTGAAAACAATAAACAAAATAATGAACTAAGAAACACTAACAACACAAATTTCACAAACATAACCAACAATAGCAAAAACTCCAATAATGCAAATGCCTCATCTTTTCCCAATAAAACCGATATATACAGCTACGATATTAATGAAAACAATGCTATTCTATATAATCAAGCACATCCTGGCCCTTTTTATGTCATGCTAACTTCTGATGAACCAATATCTTCCAGAAGGAAAAACTCGGAACTACACCTATATGCAAAACTTGCCAATGCCAACATTAACGCCCATTTTGTGTCCAAGAATGTAGGGTACAAGACCTTCCGTTTGAGTTTTAACAACGCTAATTCCGCAAATAATTTTGTACTAAATCCCGATGTCAAACGCATTGGTCTGACGGCGTTTATACCGGACAGATTTGTGCAAAAATTTTATATTATAAAATCTGTGCCAATTGAGTTCACAGGGAAGATGATTTTTGATCAAATCAACAACAGTGATAACGATTTTAAATGTGTTTCGGTATACCGTTTCAAATACAGAAATGAAAATGGTCAATATGTTCCTTCGCAGACAATCAAAGTCGGTATTGCAGCAGATTTTATTATAAAAGAACTCAAAATGTTTAATTCGTTGGTTGAAACTGAATTCTATATTCCACAAGTTCGTCTTTGCAAGAATTGTGGCCGTTTAGGTCACATTGCAACCAGATGCAGGTCAAAAAAAAGGTGTATCCTATGCGGTCAAAACATTGATTGTCCTAACAATTGCACCGATCAAAAATGTGACACATGCCTCTCCACAATTAAGTGTACCACCTTTTGTACTCTTCCCAGATGCATTTTATGCAATAAATATAATCACAATGCCATGGATGTAAAAAAATGTGAGAAGTACGCTTATGAAAAAAATATCCTTGAAGCAATGGCAATTTCAAACCTATCCAGGAAGGAATGTACCCGTAAAGCTTCAGCCAATTATTATGCAATTTTAGATGAACCCCAATATGAAAATGAATTTCCTTCACTGGCCAACAAAACTAGGCCTCCAGTTCAAACTTTTAATGACGAATTCAATCGCAGACTAACAAGAGTGAGCTATAATAAAGTAGCAGCAAAAATACCCAAAAGGTCGCTGATCACTGCAGATTCTGAATCTCTTACGCCTACTAAACCGTCCTTTGATTTCACAAATTTTTCAAAGGTCTCACATTACGAAAAAATTCTGTCATCTTTTACTAAACAAATGGAAATGGTCTTAGCCAACGCAAACTGCAAAGAAGGTCTAGATATCTTAAACGGTCTATCAGACGCCTTAAAAGCCCCCTCAAAAGAAATTACTTTTAACATTAATACACAAGATGATAATTCTACAACACAACATTCAAAGTTTAAATAAAAATAAAAACTACCTGGAGATATATTTAAACAAATACTCTGTAGACATATGCATTCTTAGTGAAATTTTCAATGTTGATGAAAACTTGTCAAATTCATATATAAAAAACTATAAACTATTTTGCAAAAAAAGAAGTGATAATTATGGAGGTGTTGCCATATTGCACAAAAACTCCATAAATATGAAAAGGTTACCCTTTAACTCGACATTGGACATTCTAATCGGCGAAACTACTAATCTAACGGAAAATTTTACTTTTGCCTCAGTATATTTTCCACATTCTGTAAAATCCAACGTATTGAAATCTGAATTGTCAAAACTATTAATTTTTCTGGATGAAAAACCGAATATTATAATTGCTGGTGACTTCAACGCTAGATGTAAAGCATATGGAGACATCTTTGATACAGTGCGAGGATCCACTGTGGAAACTCTTATGAATAACTCAGCTTTCAGGTGCATTAATGATGGTTCAGCCACTTTCAAAAAGAATATGTTTGATAATTCCTTTGGTTCGGTTTTAGACCTCACTTTTACGAACACATTCTCAAATTTGACATGGAGCGTAAAAAATATATCAATAGGTGGAAGTCACCACAAACCAATCTTGATAACTATAGGCAATGTTACGCCAAAAAACCAATATTTTTTAGCGAAAAAACATCTTTTCAACAATCTATCTAATCTCAAACTTGGAACCAATATGAAAGTAATTCAGCAGGATTTACATCTTTCAATAAAAAAATCAACTTTCGTCGTTGAATCTGGAAAAAAATTCAATTCATGGTGGAATGATGGCCTAAATAAGTATTTGAGATTAAAAGAGGCAGCCGAAAAGAAATTCGAGAAATATAAAAATACAGAAAACGCCCTAAATGCAATCGAGGCTACAGATAACTTCAAAAAAGCTGTAAAACGTGCCAAAAATCGAGCAAAACGCCAAAAACTTTTTGAATTAAATCAAATGTCTAATTCCAAAGAACTCTTTCGCTATATTAAAAGTTGCAAATCCTTTTTCGAACCTCACACTGGCTCCAAGTGGTGTCCCGAAAATAATGAAGCGTACCTCCGTCACTTGAGGGATCAAGTTCCTAATAACAATCAATTATTTTTTGCACAATCCTCAATTTGTCAATCAATAGATTTTTCCATGGATGAATTGAATAATGTTCTTGAACAAAAGAAGAAACCATCGGCAGCTGGTCTGGATGGAATAACCTATGAAATGGTTAACAAAATTTCCCAAGAAGGGAAAGCAAATCTTCTGGCATCTTACAATAAATTGTGGCAGAACAACGAATTTCTTGCTGAATGGAGAAAAATTAAAATAATACCAATACCCAAAAGGGGTAAGAATTTAGATGTCATTACCAATTTTAGGCCAATAGCTCTTATTTCTGTGCTTGCGAAGATAATAAACCTTATGGTGAAACAAAGGCTAACTAAATTCATAGAAGACAATAATATACTTCCGCCAAGATCATACGCATATAGGAAACATGTATCAACCTCAACATGTATAAACGACATTCTTCACACAGTAAATACTCTAAAGGAAAAAAATCAAAAAGTTTTACTTCTCTCAATGGATGTGTCAAAGGCGTACGAATGTGTCGATCTAAACTGTTTGCTTGCCATTCTATTGGAATTGAATATCCCATACCAAATTATATTGTGGATTGGTAATTTCCTATCCAAACGCATTCTTCACATGGGTAACACTAATCTTGAAATATACAATGGTATCCCACAAGGAAGCTGCTTAAGTCCAATACTGTTTAATTTATACACTATAGGACTTCATGGTATAACTGATGAAAACACAACACTATTTCAATATGCCGATGATTTCATTCTGCTAGTTGCTAATTCCAACTTTGAACATGCTAACAAAATCTTACAAAACAAAACTACCGACATGGTCTCCTTATTTAAAAAACTCAACCTGGAAGTGAATATAGAAAAAACAGCGGCCATGTATGTTGCAAAAGGCAGTAGAAAGAACCCTCACATATTACTAAATGGAGATCCTGTAACCACTGTCAAAACTATAAAATTTCTGGGAAGACATATTAAAAACAGTCTCTCACTCAAAGAGCATTACGATGAGGTGATGCTTTCGAGTAAGAACACTATTAACGCTTTAAAAATGGTCACTGGTCCAAAACATGGTCTTCATCCCGCTAAAGCAATTAATATTTCAAAATCGATAGTTTTCTCGAAAACAGAATATGCAGTATCGTCTATGGCGCACAGGCCAACATACATTAATAAAAAAATAACAAGTTTTCAAAACCAAATTATAAGGAGAAATATAGGGCTTGCTCCATCTACTCCCAATCATGTAGTATGCGCTCTTGCTGGGATTTTACCAACGAATCTGAGGGCTCAACTATTGGCTGCCAAAGAACTAATAAGACTAAAAACTTACAACATGTCTCTTTATGAGCATTTGACTGCAAATCCCTCCAAAAAAACCAGCATTGGATATGTTTACTTAAAATTTAAAAACATTTTTGATAATTTAAAAATTGGGTTTAATTCAACTTCGCGAAACAAAATGGAGATACTCTTAAATTGTTTCAACACTTCCAGAAGTAACACATCTACAGAATACATAAAAGCACACTATGCTAAAATTATTAATGATTTTAAATCCGAATGTGTTTCAATTTGGGCAACAGATGCTTCTATAACTAACAATAGCACTGGCATTGCCGTCTGCAACATATCGTCTAGTCAAAACTTTTTATTCAAAATTGATGAAAAACTGTCTTCGCTTAGTGGAGAACTATGTGCAATTGAAAAGGCCATAGATATAATGATTGAGGATGGAATCTGTACAGCAGCTTTATTTACAGATAGTAAAAATGCCTGTCTCCTGTTACAGAATAACTCTTCCAATAATTACACAGCATACAACATCATAAGAAAAATTTCAAACTCTAATATACACAAAGTAACATTTGTTTGGACACCATCACATGTTGGAATTTCAATAAACGAAGCGGCAGATTACTTCGCCAAACATGCAGCTAACGCAGGATGCAAAATTGACTATTGTCTCTCAGTGACGGATGCTATTAAGCAAGTCGAATCATTTATGTGGAATGAGTTCACGGATATGTATAAAGAAATCTCCCGGTCCAAAGGCATTTGGTTCTATCAATTTTTTCCAGAACCACCAAAACAACCTTGGTTCAAATCCTCTAAGATGAAACCTGCAAATATAAAAATTATTAACAGACTCCTGGCTGGTCACACTTACACAAAAAAATATTTCCATCGAATCGGCATTGTGAACACAAATCTGTGTGAAGTCTGCAATACTATTGAAGATGAGAAACATATTATTTTTCATTGTAAAAAATATGAAATCCAAAGGAAGCAGTTTGCAATCTTCCACACGTTCGGCAACCTACAAGAGCTCTTAATGTCCAGAAACCAGCAACACATTGATGAACTTTTAATTTTTATATCAAAATGTAAAATTAATCTCTAACTTTTATTTCACTTTCAACAATTTTGTTTATATTCAGTTTCAATTTTTTCATTTGTTTTGCTATACCCTTTCTGTTTACACAGTTTACTTTTAAACACACAAAGATGTAAATATTAGTAAGTAAGCATCAAAAGAAAATGTAAATAAATGAGTACTTATACTTCAAGTAACCCATAACCGGTCCTGGTGAATGAACATCATATGTTCTCCCACCAACATACTTGACAACGTATCGAAGTACAAAAAAAAAAAAAAAAAACAGAAGTTTTTGTTTTTATACTTTATTATTGCATCATGACTTCATCCTCAATTTTTTTCTATTTTCTAAATAAACAATTATTTTTATTTTCTACATTTTCCATTAAAGATGACAATTAGAATATTAAAAATATGATTTTGCGTTACATCAGTGTGCGGTGAATTCTAATTACAACAATATGTATTGACATTTGTTTGACATATCATTGTACCATCAGCTGGGCCGATGCGGCTACCTTACATTAGTATACCTACGGTGAGATTATTCAGTAATAGGCAAAAGACGCGCAGAGGAGGAGGCTTTGCTCTAAATATAAAATAATTTTATTCACACAAAATACAAATAAAACAACAATAACAATGAATTTTAATAACGATACTGCCAAACAAATATTAATTGATATTATACGCACAGTCAATCAACCGGAGAATTCAAAAAAGTTATCCGAAGCAAAAGCCTCGGCCGGCAAGGAGATGCTTCTAATGATGCAGCATGTATTCCCACTGGTAATGCAATTACAAACGGAAGTAATAAAATCGTATGGATTTCCGGGTAATCGTGAGGGTCTGGTACAATTCTCACAATTGATACGTGAACTGGAACGGGAAGATGTTGAAATTGCAAGACTACGTAGCCAGATACGAGCTATATATTTGCCACCGATTGCCATTAATACCACCAATGATATATTAATTTAGGGGACACTCCATTTTTATAATTTGTAATGCTTATAATTCGAAGTACATATTTTGGTACATTTATATTTTCTTGTAGAATTAAAGCTCAAATTGATAAATCAAAGTATTGACGTTCTTCATATTTATGTGTAATTTACATACAATTGAACTAACAAAATTTGAAATTGATACTCAAATCTTAAACATCAACTGCCAATCAGAATTATGATGCATCAACACTGTTATTAGGTCTCATATATCTCATTCATATTATTACTATGCTAAGTGCAATTTTTTATACTTATTATACATTTTTTAATGAAATAAACTTCTATAAAAACAAGTAAAAATTACATTTTTATTCATAGTAAGAATCTGTTTTTAAATTTTATAAATTATACACACTTTTTGGTAACAAGGGCCCCTATACATGGCTCCACTCGGATCTCGTTGGGCAGATCACAGTGATATACATTTCATATAGGAGGTAAATGTATACTTCTGAAAACCTTGATTTAAACCAGTCGTATTATTAAAATCCAGACAAAATGGGTATCATTTTACAGCATATGAAGCTTCTTTGGAGCTAGAAGTGCAAATTTCATAGCGATAATTTATTAAGACAAAATATTTTCATCCTTACATTCTCAGTCTTGCAGGAAGCAAACATTTAACTGAGGCGACAAGATTTTAAAAATACAAGTAGATGACGCCAAGAAAAAATTTAACAATTTACTTGGAATCAAGAATTTTGAACTAATCAAAATTATTTTTGATTTTCTATTTATACAACTATGCCATATTTTGAATACGCCCCCAAATATATTTTTGCAGAGAAAATTTCATGATCTATCATAAATATTGCAAGCTCTATCGTAATTTCAAACGACGGATATACATACAACCAAAAAATATATATTATGGTGTCTCCGGTGAATATTTCGAGACGTTTTCTAAACGACTTTACAAAAAAATAAATAAATAGAATATGTTTAAATTTTAAAGTTTAAAAATATAGATGACTAAATATAAGGTGACAATACGTCCTATTTTTTTAGAGGACAATCATCTATTTGAACTGACTGTCATCTATAAAATGTATGTCCTCTATCTGTCATCTATTTTTATAATTGGTCATCTTTGTCATCTATATTTTTAAAACCTTGATAAATGTTTATTTTTGTAAATTAAAACAAATTAATAAATTTTATGAAATTTTAGTGACATTTTAGGATAAGGTATTTTCAGGATTTTAAACATATTGTCCAACCAAATTATCTGTTATTTCATATTTTGAGTTCTAATTGCGTAATAAATTTCCATAAAAAATTATTAATTATTAAATTTTGATATTTTTAGGGTTCCTGGATACGTTTTGCTACCGTATTGGCTGATATTTGATATTTTGGCTTCTATGTTTCCGATTATAAAGAAGCCCACCTTTACATTATTTTAATTTTACAAAAAAAAAAAAAAAAAATGCCTTCAAAAGTGAATGTAATTTACTACTTCTTGAGGCTTATGGGTTGCAAAATATTCTAGAAAACATAGTCGACTTAGGTCTACTTCTTTGCTATGTTCCTTATATAAAGATCACAAGATTATTCGTTTAGAACTTTTAACGAATTTTTAACTCATTTTATATATTTATAAGTAAATCAAAATGATTTTTTATACACAAACTATTATTTTTATTAAAAATATACTTTTTTCTTTTTGTCATCTATTTACATTTTCAAAAACTGGTCGCCTTAGTAAAGATGACATAAAAATAGATGACAATTAGAAGATATACATTTTATAGATGACATCAAGTTAAAATAGGTTGAATACTTATTTCGTTTTTCCATGCAAGGAATATTCTTAATAAATAAATAATACTTTTAATTCCCAGAGTTTGGAACTTAAGTCACACTTTACCTAAAGATCTATTGGACTTTGAGTTAAGAAATTCCTTATAACTACATTATACATGGTCTATAAACCAGTCCGAAAAAATCCATCAATGGTATGACTCTCTTGTAGAAGTACCATCCCTCTTAAAACTATTTTCAGAGTTTGAAATTTTTACCATATATAAAACGTTCGAAGCAAGACACCACTTCTTTACGGAAATACAGCAGATGAAATTAAAACACATGCTAATTTTAATTTTATTTATTTGCATGAAAGATTGTCAGTTTTAACAAAATTCATGTTAAGTTTCTTTTATTGTACAATTATGAATGTGGTAGTTTCAAAAAAACACACGATATGCAATCGATGATATCGATAATTTAGAGAAATTGTGTAAATATGCCAGTTACTTAATTAGATTAAGTAATTATTTAAAATGGTATACATTGAAAACAAATATGACATTTCTTGTTCCTTTTCTTGTTATTGTAATGCAAAACAAACACTTAATATATGTAGTTAAGAAATATTTACACAACTTTAGGGATAATGCTTTAAGAAGCAATGGGGATAGATAAAGAAAAAGTAAAATTAAAATAACTCATAAAAAGGAAAAACAAACCACTTAGGATGTATTTTGGAAAAGCCCAAATTAAATAGAAGAAAAAAAAAAACAAAAAAGAGACATTCTATTAAATAATAACTAAAATATGGCATAAGGTTCTTAAATTAAAAAATTACAAAATACAATTTGTAGAAAACTAAAAAAAAATAAAAATAATTAAACTTCACAATCTATTTACAGGAGAAGTATTGTTCAAAAACAAATATAAGAACACTACTACTGCCAAACACTATCTAATTTATTTACTGTCTAAGTTAAATAACAGACAATAACCACAGTCTTTATCGTTGAGGATTGCCATTGGTGTATAACGTTGACGCTGTTGATGCATCCAAGTTATTGTGATGGCCATTTGTGGCCGTCGTAATGGGTGCACTGTTGGTTGTTTGACCGCCACCATTAAAGAATTCGGAAGGTGTCATTTTTGTTACTGCTATATTATTGCTGCCATTTACATATTTATTGAACGGTGTGGCGGATTTCAAATGTTTCAACTGTTCTTCGATTAGAGCATCTTCGGCCGAATCGGCATCATTTGAGTAGGCTGGC